GTATGTATGTATGTATATATGTATGTATGTATATATACATATGTATATATCCATACATACATACATATATACATAGTTGATGAGGATTGGATCTGGTTGATCCTTGTGTTCCTTTTGAATCTGCAAGGCTAAGTTTACATATATACATATGTACATCCACAAGTGCATATATATATATATATATGTATGTATGTATGTATGTATGTATGTATATATACATACGTATATATCCATGTATATGTATGTATGTATGGATATATACATATGTATATATACATACATACATACATATATACATAAATACATATATGTATGTATATACGAGGTTCGCTGTACCATACCATACCGAAATTTCGACCCGGGCTCGGTACAGTACGGTACCGGTGTACCGGGCAGTACATCAGGGCGTACCGAGCGGTATGCCCTGGTGTACCGAATAATTTTTTATTTTTCATACTGTAGCAGTGCTACAATATATTACTGTACAACTGTAGCAGTGCTACAGTATAGTACCGTAGCATTGTAGCGGTACCGGGCGGTCCACGTATCGATAACCTGTCAGACCAGTACATACCGCCCGGTACGGGAGGTACACTTCGGTACGACAAACCTTGTGTGTATATATATATATATGTATGTATATATGTGTGTATGTATGTATATATGTATGTATGTATATATATATATATATGCTTGTGGATATACGCATATTACAAGTGCTGATGGCTGATCAGGACAGTCTTGACATCTATTCAAATGGACCTATTTCATAGAATCATATGAAACTTACCCACTATCAATACCCTTTTCCAACTAATACTCAATTTAAATTTCAAATAATGTAATTTGTACCTTCTCAGCAGAAAGGGCATCTGTGCATATGTTACTGATGAGTTGAGAGTTCACCTAAGCAAAAGAACCAGCTAAACTATGAAAATGATTTTCTTATTTTTAATAAAATGAAGAAATGCAACATAAGTAAATTAAGGTACTGTATAATGTATATCAAAGATAATGATGGTTCTAGGAGTTCACAGCTTTCTGTGCTTACTAACAGATGTCTGTGAGAATTAACAGCAAAAATTTAAAAGTCAAACTTTGGAAGTTCAAAGCAGGAATATAAATTAAGTCATTGCATGAATCTCAAGAAATAGATCATATATTACGGTCTATGACAAGATTTTTCACTTGCTGAGCAGTTTATTAGCACCAGATTTAAGAATACTGGCAAAAGTTAGACATCATCAATGTATCTGTTAGCAAAATGGATCTCTCACATGATGCTGAACCCACATTCCATGTCATGTCAGTGCTTTTTAATGGGCCATGAGTTGTTCATATTCAAAAGATTGGAGCCCAGAAAGTATATGCAATCTATTGATGTAGAAAATCAAGAAGTAGACTGCATGTCTGTTATGTTTTCTTCAAATAGTTCTTTCCAAGGGACAAGATGATCTCTCCTGATACACAGAGTGAGATGGCTCTTCAGATTGATTTTTTTGTCACCCTATACCATAAACCTTCCCAATCATATACTGATACTTCAAATCATAAGCTATGTCATAATTTTATGCATCATAGATCATACAATAACTCCAGACTATTTTTGCATACATAATTACCATATGTACCAATTACATATTAAAGTTCCTATATTTTCTTAAGATATCTGATTCATAAGTCTAAGCATGATTCGTCTAATTGGTTCATACCGGTACTGACCAATTGTTGGTACGATACGTGTCAAACTGTACCGAGCCATACCAAACATATCAACATATAGTACATAAGGACATACCAATGTACCACCCATACCAGTCCCTTGTCAAATCGGCACGTAACCACCCGAACTGAGCGGTATGCTGCGGTATGGCGAACCTTGATTCTAAGTACTTTTTCATTGAGCTTTTCTTGTTAAATTCAACCTATTATATATTAGTTACATATAAGGATGGTGTTCAATCCGATAATAATATTATTTAACTAATCTTACTAGTTAGTACTGCATTATATTGAATAAATATGCATCACATTTCTTTTATCCTACTTTGACAATCTTGAGTCTTAGTTTCTCTTAGTAGTTTCAGAGCAATTTCTAATATAAGATGCTTGTGTAATTTCTTGTACAATAGAAGTTGCAACTTGTTACTATATTTTAGAATATGATGCTTCTTTCAAAAGTTCTATGGCGTTTGCGGGAACAGGTTATATTCTCTAATGGACCTTCAAGGCCAGATCATTGTAGCAGGCTGTAGGGCTAAACAGCTTCATTCAGTTCTACAGACAGAAAGATGGACCATTCTTAAAGGATTGAAGTTAGCTCACTAGAGAGGTGCCCGCCCCATTTTGGCCAGATCTGACCACCTGCAGGCGATTCACCTTTTGGAAACATGCTTAATATGTGAAACGTGATCATAATATTGAGGCCCACACCCTTGCTGACTATGCCTGACAGCAGGGTTCTTATGTTTGGAGTGGTGACCTACCCGATTACTGTTCCTTAACATTTTGTTGTTTGTTTTAAAAAAAAATTTGTAACTAATTTTTTTACTGGCAACCGAATTTTTTCTTATTGATGAACAAAAGAATAAGAGATTGCAACTTTGCATACACAATTTTGTATATGGTTGGAGGTTACTAAATCATCAAAAGAAAAAGAAATCTTTTACAAATATTTCAGTTATTACATGTATAATATTTAATAAGGCAGTTAGCATATGGTGGCGACACAATATGCTAATTTTGTTTGACATCTAGTGGTTGCTTTTCTTCATTCCAAATTTAAGGATAAAGAGAAAAAACTGAAGAAAAAAAAAAGTGGACATTAAATACCTTGCAGATTGTGTCAAATCCGACATTAGCTTCAACAAACTGGTTCTGAAGATCCCCATAGAAGGTAACAGGAACACCAACAACCTACAAACCCAAGATTTATCATTCTTCTATCGCATATAAAGACTATGACCTTAGGTGGAGTTCACTACTCAATAAAAACTTCAAATACCCAAATTTAAGACAATATTTGTCGTTTCTGTTGGAAAAAAATAGCCATATAAGGATTGGACCAGTCACGGGGAAAAATGGTTCACTGTTGTGTTGGAACTTGTTAAGAGAAATAATTCAATAAATTATATGAATTACAGATTAAGAATTAACATTAGCTACAGGAATTGCCAAAAACCTTTGTCAAACATTTTGCTTCTGCAAATGTCTCAGCAAGTTGAGCTGCATCAGTATTGGATGTGACACCTTCATGAAGAAAGAATACATGAACTATCACTCTAGATAATGCTGAAAAGCTTGTCTATTTAGGATTAAAATCAAGGCAAATACCTCCAATAACAACAAGTCCATTAAGATCTAGTGTTTGGCATGCATTTAGTGCAGAGTTCACCTGTTCCTTTGATGTGATTTGATCCTTTGTCCTTCCCAGCATATCATAACCCCCTAGATAATAAATTTCGTAATGATTAGGTAGTTCAGATTTTATTTCTGCAAGTGCCAACCATACCAATTTGTGTTAAGCATTCAATATTGCCAGATCTCATTTCTTCTGGTCCAAAGACAAAATTTTGCACTTAACAACTCAAAATATATAGAGGAGACATCAACATTCATGAAATCACAAGTACATTATTTACAAAGGCTTTAGTTTGCTAGGGCAGAGATATTTTGCCAGGCAATTTATGTAAAGAAATTAACATCAGAAACAATGACTTAACCTGATGGATCGATCTCAATTTATTTGGTAATTTTCATCCTTGGATTAAAAGTCATTTATGTAAACAACACATTCTTGTCAGCAATCATGACTGTCATCTACCCAATGCATATGGGTCAATCTCAGTTTATCCGGTACTTCTCATCAATGGAGTAGAATAAACAATTTTAGAAACTTGTTTCTTGGGAAAAACTTCCAACTGTTGGTTTCTTGACATTTTAAACTAATACGGATGGTATGGAGCATATGCTTTTAATATGCATGGCCCAAAATGCAACATGTCGTTACAAAATCACATTGTGCTATGAAGCATACGGCCATACACTAATAATATTTATGGACCAAAATGCAACATGTTGATGCATATGACTCTTAAACTACTAAATATTCTAATTTTGTAATTCATTGATTAAAATAAACACTCAAGCAAGTGCATCATGTGAGGGTGCTAGGGCATTGTAAAACCAGAAGAATTAGCTTATTTCCAGATAAACCAGTAAGAAATTTTTGGTCTGCATTTTCCAAAAGATGATTAAATTCCCTATTGTGGAAGTATATAGCTTTAACAACAACTTAAATTGCTAATGCATGGCTAAAAAAATTGACAATTTATAGCATTCAAACCACAGCTGGTGCCAGGTGACAAGAAAGTCATAGAGCAAGTGATTCCAGAAATGAACAAATAAAATGCCCATAGGTTTAGCAAAAGACAACTAATATAAACCTTGATTACGATAAGCAGCGACGATATCATCCGAGATCACTAATGTTTTTTGCACAAATAATCCTTCGGTTCCTCCTATTTTAACAAAGCAAAGAAATTGTCAATTATCAAAAAGCCTTATGCAATAATTTGCCTAACCAACATGTCACCAGATAAAAGAAGTTTCAAAGAAATACCTTCTAAAAATAATCCACTGGATAGAAAGTTAAAACAGTGAACTATAAAATAAACTCTTTGCCCATTATATATCAGATATATGGTGAGTGCATACGCACCGCAAAACCCTAGCAAGGTACTTTTTGGGTTGTGTAACTTCATAGCATCATAAAGTCCACAAATAATGTTATGCCCTCCAGGTGATTGGCGGCCACAAAAGACTACCCCAACCCTGTATAAGACCATTACCAGAATAACATTGTGGCTTCAGTACTGGCATAGAAAGACAATTGTGTAGCTGAGTGATTTAGAACTTCACATATGAAAAAGATAGACGAACTTATGGAAGTCATTCACAGTGCATAATGGATGAAGAAAAGAAGCAAGCAGATAGCATCTCATGATGCACGACATGTGAAGTAGAACTGTAGAAGCATGTTTAATAGGGAGGATGTAACATTATGTCTTTTTTCTTTCTGGTATTAAACTGATCACTACTAGAAATTTAAATTATCTCGGACATTTTCATGATCATCGTTGTCATCAAGCCTTTGTTGAAATGTGGTAATCAAGGAGGAAGCCCGATTTGGAGGATCAAACGAATGGCTAGGGATTTAATGCACCAAAATCTTAATTTAAGATAACCCATCTAGGAGTTTAGTTAAAATATGTCAAATAACCATCTCTCGTTTTCTTTGCTAAGAGATAACAAATCATGATTAGCGACCAAACAACACAAAAACAGAGGCCTGAATTACTTGAGCTAGTCAGCTGCGCAAGGATAATTTAGCCCATTGATTTCTTCTAAGATCAACCAGACGTCGGCTAGAACCGTCAGAACCAAGCAAATCTATCACCAAAGTCGTGCCATGTTTTGGAAACCCTTTTCTTGAGCAAGATTTAACCGAAAACATACAGCTGATCGGAAAAATTCTGAAGATGGCTAAATGCGCCATGTGTGTTTTCTTGTTTATGACATTGAACGAGAAGGCAAAATGACCAGGCAAGAGAAAAAGATCGGACAGATTCAACGCATAAGCTGACTGAGGCCGTGTAACCCTGAAGGAGAGGATAGTGCTCGTTCGAATCGATACCTTCGCCGGCCCTTTGGGCGGCTTGGCGGAGTGCCGCAGTTTGGCAATCCCCTTCAGGGAAACGAATCTGGAAGGGGAAGAAGGCTCGAAGCCTGCCATTCTCAACATTGGGCTGTGCCTCCTCTCCGCCGACCAGAAACCACATCCCTTGCCTCTGCAGGGCAGAGAAGGGGGGGAACTCTTCCCGCCGAATTGGCACCAAACCCATCCCAAATTGGTAAATATGTGACAACGGTGTCCATATTTTTTCCCCATAAATCCTCAAGTATTAAGATCATTTACATGCACTCTCTCATTAAAACTATTTACGAATATGGTTAGTTCGAATGAAAAATACAAAAATATAAAATAATAAACCCTCCTTAAAAAAATTTATTTTTAAAATAATTTATACTAAATATGAGATTCAAAGTCTTTATAAATTAAGTTAGTTAATCCTTAAATGTTTGCTATCTTAGTTGTTGACAACTCTAAAAATATATTATTAATAATTAAAATTATAGCTTCGATATAACTAAATCGATATGGTATTACTCCATAGGATAAATAATGCAATCTAATTAATGTAATTTTTAATTTATTAGGATCATATATTGGTGTGGTGAGATTTTCTTTTGGTAGACACCTGAAGTTGATTTTTAATTTAGTATCATTGTTCTAAAATTTAAAATTTAGAATAAATTAAAAATATAAATTTTAAAAATTTTAACATTTTAAATTTAAAAATTTTAAATGTAAATTTTAGAATACCATCGTTTATCATTAAATTTAAAATTTATAAAATAATTTGATAAAATTATAAATAATATTAAACATAAATCATACCATATTTTATATATTATTATATGAATAAAGAAACAACCAATATTGTCGTATAACTAACATTACAGTATCAATATAATCGACACCATGGCATCATATGATTGATATGTGATTAACACATCATGATTATGATTAAATATGTGATTAACATTCCCCGTCATCGATATTGATCGTCCGAGTAATAGTATTGAAAGCTCAATATAAAAGGGCTCATCATGTATCATGAGATCACTCTCTAAATATATTACACAACATAAGATGAATTATCCAAATCTAAGACTAATTTAAATATTAGAATGATATTTTTAAAGAATTATTAAATATAATTTTATAAGGTTCAGCACAATCAGAATCAGGCAAGTGGGGTGTTGATTAAAATCGACATAATATTAGCATAAAATAATTTTTTTGATTTACTCTCAATCAACATTCAACTGGAACAATCAAATACTTGCTTAATATATATTAATTTAAACTCTTGAATAGATCAGGCTAAAATATTCTGTATTATAACTTATACAACTTAAGAGAGAGAGAGAGAGAGAGAGAGAGAAAGAGAGGAAGAGTCATCACCTGAGTGGTGGCTGTTGATCTTGGACGCCATTAGGAGGGGGTTTCTCCAGTGAGCTGACGAAGTGCACCAAAGGTTGGCCATAAGTTAGAGGAAAGGAACGTTTGATGGATTCAGCATCCAACGGATCTGGAACAGTAGTCGCATCACCAAACTCTACTTGGACATGAGATCCCTGTCATTGAATTGTCCATCTCAGTAACTTTGCCATCCCTCGGTTAGAGAGAGAGAGAGAGAGAGATATATATATATATATATATATCTGACGACAGTGGCTGACACAACACATGCGATGCATGCGTTTGTGTGCCTGTTGACGAAGCTTCAACACCACTAAATGGTCACCTCACTGCACTGCCTTCAACTCCCTTGTTTCCACTGAACGCTGACCGAGAGAGAGAGAGAGAGACAGAGCGAAGGAGTACCTGCAAGCAAGGGGGAAGTTGTGGAACGTAGAGGCTTCGCTGCTTCTGAAGAGTAGAGAACTCGATGCCAGCTCCAAACTCCATCTGCTCCTGCGACAACGAAGAAGAAAGAGAACTGCCGTGGCGAGTGGGAGAAGGTAAGCGAGTGTCACGTTCAGATCATCGCCGTGAGGTTTAATTCTCATCCACCAATGAGGTGGGTCGAGATCCGGCGACTGCGCTCGCGCGAATCGCACGCATCTCGTAGACTGCTTCCTTTCAATATTGGACATAAAATAAGAATTATATTCACTTGTTCTTATTTTTCACCACACACGTAATTTTTCGATGGTTGATCAATTTGTAAATATATACAATATAATTCTTCTCGAATCTTCAAATAATGGATTCATCGGGGTAGAATTATCAAATTGCATTTTGATGAATAAGAAAATATCTTTTTTGATATATGAAAAAAATATGCATATACTAGTCGATTCCTTATGTTGGATAAGCTATTTTGTTGGATTAAGAAATTTATTTTAAAATTATTTAAAATTTAATTTACTTGTTATAAAAGTTTTTATTTTTCATTAGTTTTGATATTTTAATATTTTTATTATATATACTTTTAAATTATTTATATATTTTAGAATATTTTTAATTACAATCTGATTGATTGAGCCATCGGTTGGTCCGGTCCAGTGAACCGAAACTTAATCGAACCGCTCTCTGATTTGGTTTATAACCATGATGTGGGAACAATCGGACTTGGCCGGTCGTTAACCGCGATAGACACGACTGTTGAATCTCGTATTTTGATGATGAAACCAATTGATAATTATATTTATGTTTTAATCTGCATTTTGAGTGACGCGGGATGCTTCGATCAGGATGAAACAATTAAAGCAGAAAAAATCATGTTGGACCGGAGGAACATGTCAGAAGATTGGACGTCGGGCCGGTGGATCGGTCGACATATCGATAGAAGGCTTTGGGTCGTGGACTCGGGCATCGGGCCAAGAAAAGCGGGTATTGTGCCAAGGCTATCGGAGTTGCGAAGTCAATTGGCTGATTGAGCAATAGGTCATAGGAGAGGACGATGCGTTGAATAATCGGACGAAGCGTCGAGGGACCAATGACATGCCGGACAACTTGGTTAATTGCTTAGAATTAATTGTCTCGATCGAAGTTTTGTTTTACATGTGTAGGATTAACTATGATGAATATATGCAGTAGGAGTTGCACTGGAGTCAAGACTATGATCACGTTGGGAGTTCGAGAGTTCGACGGAAGTCCGGACGGTCGTCGGAGGTTCTGCGGGAACAAATCCGAGAAGTCCAGGAGCTTGCCAAAGAAGCTCATCGGAACTCGCCAAGTGGATCGTCGCAAGTCCAAGAGTTTGCCGGATGTCCGTCGGAGCATCGTCGAAGGTTCGTCGGATGTTCGCCGGAAGCTCGCCAGAAGAAGCGTTTGACGCACCGGAGCAAGTTGCAGTAAATGTCTTAAGAAATATCGTAGTTAGCATGTAGATTAAGTTAGGAATGGGAGGTGATCCCATTAACTTAATCTGGGAGCAATTGGGCCCTTGATAGACCCAAATTGGGCCGAATGGATCAAACCATTTGGACCATAATTCCTGCCAAGCAGTGGCATCGCTAGGGTCGGTGGTGGCACTGCCCAGGAGATAGTCTCCCAGGAAAGCTAGGCGGTGGCATCGCCTGGGCTCAGTCTCCGAGCGAGACTGGGCGGTACAACCGCCCTTGTCAAACGGTGGCACCGCCTAGAGGCTCAGTCTCCGAGTTGTCAAGCGGTTGTACCGCCCCAGTCAGGAGGTAGTACCGCCAGACCCCGGAAATCCAGGAAAAGACATTTTTGAGCTCCAAATTCAAACCAGTTTGGGGCCTATATATACCCCACCCTTTCCTGCATGAAAGGGCACCAAAAATCCAATCTTACTCTGTGATTTTTAGAGCTCAAAAGTGTTGTAAAGGCTAGAAGTTCTCCTTCCTCTTTTCTTCCAAGTTTTGATCTTTCAAATGATGAGAGAAAATTCTGTAAGAGTTGTCTCCTAAGTCCATCAAAAGGAGTGAAACTGTAAAAGGGTGGTTGGCCTTCGCCTATTGAAGGAAGGCCTCTAGTGGACGTCAGTGACCTCATCAGTGGAGGAAGCCAGAAGTGGATGTAGGTCAAGATTGATCGAACCACTCTAAATCTCGGTTTGCATTTACTTTGAGCATATTATCTTTACTGCAAACCTCCTCAATAGCTTACTGTCTTCTACACATTTACGATCATGTTTCAAGTTCAGTATTTTCCGAATTGGCGTTTAGACGTAAATCAGTTTAATCGTACGAACATCATATTTCAGTTTACGCTTACATTCTAATTTCCATCACAACTGCAAACTGCCTTCATAGACTTGCTTTAACTGCATCTTGCTTGATTACAAGTTAAAGTGATTTACGAATCTGATTTTCTATTGAAATCGCTCTTATCATACGAACACGATTTTAATCGTCGAAAGTTTTCCGCTGTACTAATTCAACCCCCCCCCCCCCCCCCCCACGCCCTCTTAGTGCTCTTGATCCTAACAATTGGTATAAGAGCGGGGTTAACTCTCAAATGGATTAAAACCCAAGAGAGAAAACATACGCCGGAAACCAAGAGGACCATTCTATTACACATCCACCTATGTTCAATGGGACGGACTACACCTATTGGAAGACCCGAATGAGGATCCACCTATGCCCAACCAGAGCTCGGAGACTGAGCCCTGGGCGGTGCCACCGCCGACCCAGGCGGTGCCACCTCTAG